AATAGGGATCATTCATTACCCATTTAACCATATTTGTTCAATACTCATTGACCAAAAAAGTTTTTTTTTTGATTTTCAAATTACAGGTGTATAAAGATAATTTTAAAGTTTCACTTGAAAATAACATTAAAAATATTTTTAGCCATACAAATAAATACTTTCCCCCGTTTATTGGAAGTATTTTCAGAATATGTTACGAGATTACAGAAATATATTTAGATCCATCTGTAATTAGAAAAGCGAGTGAAATGAGCTCAACTGAGTCGCTAGGAATGTTCTTAATCGAAAGACAACTAATGAAACCCGTTTCAAAGGAAAGAGGTATTTAATTTCAACGAATAAAATAACTTAACCATGCACTATGACTTAAACATATGTTAACTGTCTGGGTTTTCCTTTGACAGAGCATAAAAGATTACGTTCTGAAAATTCAAATATCGAAACTAGCAAGAAGCCATGGATGGAATTGGCTTACTTGTACAGACACATTGGCCGAAATGATGTCTGTAAAGGTATTTTTGAAGGCCACATTGCTTCGAGTGAATATACTAAAGGTAACTTATACATATATTTTATTATTATAAAGAATCAAAACTAGGATAATTTGCACAATAAAAACGTAACTTTATTTTATTTTGATTTTAAGATGCATTAAATGCTGAGATGATTGGCGATTATTCGTCTGCTTGTTATCATTATTTGAAAGCATTGAAAAATCAACAAAATATTGAAAATATAATTGAAGAAAATATAATTGAAGTAAGTACAATAAGTTGACTGAATATACTATATATTTATATATATGCGTTTTCATAATAAACTGAATATGAAATTCTGTAAATTAGGCTGAAACTTGGGAAGAAGGAAGATTCGAGTGTTATGAGAAGCTGTGTCAATGGGATGATCTTGCTGAGACTGTAAATGTTGATCTTGATGGAGACTTAGAAAAGCTTTGGAGTGAAGAATATCAGGTTTAACTATTAAGTTATCTCTAACTAATCAATTATATTTTATATATACCAAAATTTTTATCGAAGGTTATTAATCGTGCGTTATTTTTTTAATTAATATTTTATAGGATTCTTATCTTAATTACTTCTTTCACAGCTTTTTCAAATTGACCCATGGAACGAATGATAACAACTATAAACAACGATTTTATACTTTCATAGATAATGCTATGAAAGATCCTGAGCGTACATCATTGTTAGAATTGCATTTTCCAATAGGTAAATTATTCAAATATTTTCTTTTTTGAAAACGATTTTTAAATATTTGCTGAGATATAGTCTCCATTTTTAGAACTTGCTTTATCTTCATTGACACGGAAAAATTATGATAAAGCAAGGATGTATGTTAGAAAATCATATGATAATTTTCTATACTCATGGACAAATTTACATCCTTTGGCAACAAGCACTCGATTAAACAAATTAAGTTCCTTGCAGCAGGTAATATATTTGAAATGATAATGTAATTCCATTAATAATAATATTATTAATTTATTAAATATTAAATATTAGATTGTGGAGATTGAAGAATATTTGAATTTAATCGAAGAAAAAAGTGAAAACATTAATTTTGATAAAGCACTGACGGTTTGGAAGTCTAGGTATCCATCTAAATACCTCGATTCATGCAACACTTGGGATGACATTGTAATTAATCGCCAATCAATTCTTCGTGATATGCTTGAATGTCTACATAGAGATAATCAAGTAAGTGGCTATTATTATTTATTATTATTTTAACAGTCTGAATTTAATACTAATTTATAAATTTCCTCTAGTTTAAACAAAAAAAGGATTTACTAGAAGGAACATCATTGTTAAAAATGTCTGCTGCTGCAAGAGCACAAGTTAATTATGAAGTAGCACACTCTTGTTTAAACAAAATCCGACGATTTATTCAATTTGATTCAGATAAATTGGATTATTATCAATACAAATTACATTTACAAGAAGCAAGCAATGCTGTTGATTACGAGAAAAAGAGTTCTATTTTATCAAACCTAATCGAAGATTTTAGCAAATTTAAAGTGAATAATATAATAATGATATATTTAAAAAAAAAAACACATGAAAATCAAAATTAATATATTTTTAACCTATTTCTTCAGTCATTTAAGTCTAAGATCGACCTAAAGAAATCTATGATAGCAAGTGAAGCATATTCCCTTCTTAATTCAGAATTAAACAAGGATTACACTCAAAGCTCGTTGCAGTCTCTTAAAATTAGAAAAGACGAATTGATTAATAAAGGATATGACATTATTGAAAGTGCTTCAAAAGAATTGCATAGATTCAAAGTAAAAACATTTTTATAATTTATTTTTTATAACAACAATAATAATAACGTTGTTTTATGACTTAAATATTTTAATCAGCCTTCATTGCAAAGAAAAATTTTTTTTAAATTTGCTAAATATTGCGATGATCATTTACGTATGATCGAATCTGATGATAATAACATGGATCAAGTATATATAATTTTATTTGTGCTATTAATTATATTTATTCACTTAATGATAAATTATTAATACAATTATTGATCGTTGCTTTTATAGTTTTCATTTAATTATGAACAATATGCGAACAATGTTGTGAGTAATATTATGGATGCATTAGAGCTGAATTCTGAAGAAGCTTCAGAAATATTCCCTAGATTGTTGCAAATAATAGAATTTTATGAAGAAACACAAGAGACTTTTTTAGCAAAAGTAAAATTTTTATTCACTTTTTATTTAATTTGTAAAATTTTAATATAACATACTTGTATACATATAATTATTTAGGCCAAAGCGTTCGGGCCTGTTTGGAAATTTATAAGGTGGATACCTCAAATAGTTGCAGTATTGGATAAACCTATTATGCATTGTGTGCTTCCTATTTTGGATAAGGTTTTGTTTTATTTGATACTTTTATTGTAATCTTTATATCATTATAACAATTCTTTTTTCCCATTTATAAAGCTCGCAGATGAATATCCAAAAAGTTTGTACTTCCCACTCAGAATTAGTAGTGAATTTTATAATTTTGAACAAAATGATCCAGATGCAAGAGCGAGACAGTTGATTGTTGAAAGGCTTCAACAAAAAATAAAATCTGATGTATTGGAAAGATTGATAACTGAACTGGAAAGACTAACTGATCCAGAAATGTATTTTAACAATTGGTGCCAAAATATTTGGGTATTAAATACTTTTATATTTTTTTTTTAAAATTAATAATATTATTAAATTAATAAGCTTGTTAATAAAATTTTTAGAATTTGGTCAAGTTAAAGGATTCTGGTGTAGATAAACGTAAAGAGATTAAAAAATCTTTTCAAAACCTTAAAGCATTCGTGCTTGAACCGGATAACCTAAATTACGGAGATTTTAATATCTTTTATTTATTAAAAAAAATAAACAAATCATTCCCCTTTTAAACATTTAAAAAATTATAATTCCTTAACTAAATTTTTTTGAACTTAGAGAATTTTCGAACCGTCATGCAAGTATCATCATAGATTTATGCGGTAAATATAGAAACTTTGAAAATATTAAATTTAGTAGATTGTTAATATATATTTCCTATAATAGGTGAAGATGGATCGAAATTAGCGGACATGACACAAAATGATTTTAAAGCAAAAGTTTGGGAATATTTTGTTAATAATATTAAGAAAAAGAGCAAAAAGCCTTCAGAGGGTTCGAACTTATTAAAGTCATATTCTAAATGGCTCGCAGAATTTTCATCATCTAATTATCTAGAAGTAATTATAAAAATTTTTGAATTCGAGTTAAAAGTTTTTTTCAAATATTTTCTAATTTCTTATTTTAAAAACAGGAGATTGAAATACCTTCCCAGTATGATTGTTCAATGATTCCTGACCCGGATAGGCATGTAAAGATTGCTCGTTTTGACCCTAGAGTCTTGGTATTGAGATCGTTAAGGCGACCAAAACGACTTACTATGATTGGCACTGATGGAAATGAATATAATTTCCTTGTTAAAGTAAATAAGTTTTATTTTATTTTTTTACCACCTTTGATTATAAATTTACATCTAATTGTTATTTAAAGGGAGGAGAAGATTTACGACTTGATCAAAGAGTTCAATCATTATTTGACCTTATGAATAAAATAATGAGTAAAGATTTTTATTGTTCTCAACAAAAAATTAATTTGAGAACATATAAAGTTAGTAAATCTCTATAAATTAAATAAAGGATTTTTTTCAAATGACTATTATTGAGATTTTAAATTATTCAATAATAGGTGATTCCTATGACTGGCAATCTTGGTATAATCGAATGGATCAACGATACTGAACCTTTGAGGCACTTCATCAATAAAAAAATCAATAATGAAAGTATTTTGGAACAAGCTCAAAAAAAACATTTAAATTGGATCGAGGAAAATTATGCTGGTAATAAACATTGTCATTTTTTTCTATTCTTTTTTATTTAATGAAATACTTATTTTATATAAATGTAAATTAGATTATCAAAATATGTTCATCCATGCTGCACGCGACGATATGATAAAGCATTTTAAAGGTTTACAGGGACTTTTGGGCTCAAACATTTTAACAAATTCACTTCTTAAATTGGCAGCTTCTCCGGAGGTGTATTTGTCGCTTAGATCAGAATTTATCAAAAGCCTTGCTAGTATTAACATTTGTGGTTATTTGATTGGTATGAAATATATATATATACATGATAATTTTTATTCATTAATTACAGAATAAATTGATGCTTTTATTGTTACTGTTGTTAGGAATTGGGGATAGACATTTGGAAAATTTTTTAGTAGACATGAATAAGTTAGTTAACGACTTCTTAATAACAATGATGATAATTATTATTAGTTTATTTATTAACAAATTTTAAAATTTTGTTTAGAGGAACGCTTATTTCCATAGATTTTGGTCATGCGTTTGGGTCAGCAACTGAAACGTTGGAGATTCCTGAATTAGTTCCATTTCGTTTGACTAAACAATTGGAATCTTTAATGCAACCACTCGGATCACGTGGTTTGCTAGAGTATCCTATGATCAAAATAATGCAAAGTAATTTGTTTTTTCTTATAAAAAAAAGCATATTTATCAATAATTAATTAACCAAACAATCATTTATATGATAGTAATGCATTTGAACAAGGAGGTCTTGCTTAACGTGATGGAAATATTTGTAAAAGAACCATTACTAGATTGGCTAACCCGTGCAAAAAACTTAGCAAAACAACAAAGTAAGGATGCGATTTATTAGAATTTAATAATTGCAATAGCTAATTTATAATTATTTTTTTTAAAAAAAAAAGAAAATCAAAATTTAAATGAAATTGATGACTATTTACAATCTCAAACTGAATGGTATCCGCGCAAAAAACTTAATATTGCAAGGCGTAAATTAGAAGTTGGGAATCCAGCAAGTTTGTATTATTTTCATTATCATAATTAATTGATCTTTTTTGGCATCTTTGTTTTTATTACTGTTATCAATATCGATATTAATATCAATATTTTATCAGGTCTTATTTGTGAAGAATTGGCAGTTAGCCATTCCCACAAACCATTCTTTTCTAGCCTCGAAAGGATAGCAAAAGGTGATCCAGATCACAATATAAGAGCACGTATACCAACAACATGTTGCGACATCAAGCAACAAATCGAATGCTTGATGGATCTTGCAACCGATGATGTTGTGCTAAATTGTATGTGGGTTGGATGGACTGCGTGGGCATAGAATTTATTTTTTAGTTGTTTATTTTTTTATCATTATTTTGTTTATTTTATTTCTTAAATAATAAATAGGTTTGATAACAAATAAATTTTCAATTTTTCAAAATTCGGTGTTCGCATCCATTATTATTCATTACAAATGATGTTCAAAAAAAATTGATTGAGAATGCCAAAGAAAAATGAAGCGATTATGGTCAGCAAAATATTGAATTAATCATTGTTTTATTAACATTTCAGGTGTGATCAAAGTTCTTTTTGATCATTTTTCGTCAAAAAAATTTTAGTAAGAATTTTATTTTCTTAGCCATTACAACAGTTTAATAATAATGCTAGAGATATGGAACATTGAGTACATAGTTTGGTGAACCTAAGCTACAAAATAACGGTTTTTGTTTAATTATTGTTGAGTACATTTTTGTGCAATTTATAATTGAATTAGAATTATTTGTTGTTTTCGTAATAAGAGCCTTTCTTAGGATGACCTTTAGTTCTTGTTGGAATTGGATTTTTATTTTATTGTCATAATTGCTGATCACCACCTTTCCCACCTTTTCTCTTTTTTGATTTGTAGTAAGTTTCTTCAAATAAGGTTCTTGTCTCCTCATACCTATCACCAATTATTTGAGTGATAGATTAAAGCTTGATATAATCGACAATTTTATCTTGAATTATTGGCGGATTGAAATTTAGAACTTTAATAATATTACCCGCCGCCAAGTAATTTTGATATTGTTGTGGTTGTTGATAAATACCAACAATATTACTTGATAATCATTAATATTATTATTAATCACCATCATACTTTTATGTGGAGCTTGGCAATTTGACTTGTATGTAAAATCGCTAAAAAAAAAGCCTGCAAACTATTCCTTTATGAGATAGAAACATGCATGCAACATCATTGAAAACAATTACATATTGTTTTCCACATCCAGTGTTTTAGTATCCATACTTCAGATGGCTATGTATCGGATGAAATAAGTAATTCTATTAAAGAAAAACTACTGAGATCGGTGATAACATTATTACTGTTGTTGGAGGTGGAGGCAGTTATATTACCATTTTCGCCAGTAATGATTTTCATGGATGTGGAGGTGGAGGTAATATTATTTTCGCCAGTAGTGAATGTGGATATGAAGTTGGTAATATCACTATCATTAATTGCGCCTAAAATTTCATCAACAGAAGACATCAAGAAGTGATATGATTGTGAAGAAGCTATCTCAATTTTAACTCTGGATTGACAAAAAAAAGTATTTTTCTGTATTTTTTGTAATATCTTTGTAAGCTGCAGATCTTTGAATATGATTTTCAATTATATCAAATGTTTCAATAAGATTTGTTTGACTTTGAATTCAACTGCTTTTTTATAATGGCCTTCAAGCTTTCCAATCTTAATGTTGTTTTTACACCAGCCATCATTACCCTGCATCTCCATGGCCAACCCCATTTTTCTTTAGAATTATAGATATACTTATTCAGGCAATTGACGTTTTTTGCCAAAAGATTTTTGAATAAATTGATTCCACATTCTATCAAATGCAACTGACGAATTGTCTTGAAATCCCGGATGAAATTATAATAATCTTTTCCAGAGCTGGTTTCTGATTTTTATACAAATTGTTGTATATATGAAAGGTGCACAAATAACGTTTCGTTTCTGTAAAATTATCTTAATTGATGATTCCAAGGAAGGATCACAATCACTCATAATCAAACTTGGCAATCCTAAAAACCCATTTTTCATACAACTGAAAAACCAATTGAATGATTCAACATTTTCATGATCTAACAATGTTTGACAGAAAATTATAGATCAAACATCATTAACAATACATAATGTTAAATTATATGTATTTGTTTTATATGTTGAATGTATAATTGCAATGTCATTATATTTACTCCAGTTTCTTTTTTGTGTAGGATTTATCCAGAAAAGTCTATTAAGCCAACTAATATAAATATCAACTGAAGCCTCTACAAGCCACAAAGGATCTTTATTTTTATTTTCATTTAATTTTTCATACAGATCGGCAACATCATCTTTCAATTTTTTGGTGGATTGAATTATTATAGTTGGCTCGGTCTAAAAACCTCCTAAATTTTGGGCTAATTTTAAAAGTATAGAAGTCACTTTCTGTCCTACCTTTAAAAAAATAGCTCTATTAGTTGATAGAATATGTCTTTAGTTTTAATGTAATAGAGAGATTTTCTCAAAAAAATTATTTGTTGTAGAGTTCTATTCTTTTTTAAAACATGTACTTTACTATGCTCGCGAGGAATTTGTCCACTATGATCATTTCTAAATTTAGGAAATGTTACCAAATTTAGACTAGCTTTTGACTATCGTATCTAAATTTGGCAGTAAGAAAACCAAAATCACGTGAAGTCCTATTTTTTGAAATATTTTGAACGAATTACAAAATTGCTATTGCCGCATGGCGCAGCAATAGGAGGTCTCCAACCATATTATTTATTCATTTGTTTATAATTCTTTATATTATTCCTTTTGCAGATTAATTTGAATGGTGATAATAATTCGATTGACAAAAAATTGGATAATAAATATAAACGGACTAATGTTATTCTCAGTACAAAACAAATCGTTTTCTCTACTCTATTCAATAGAACACAATAGATTGAGTCAAGTCAAATTTTAAATCTTATAAATATATTTACTTTTATATTATGATGTCTCTTAGTAAATTATTATCATTAATACCACTATAAAGAAAGGAACTTGTATTTAAAATTAATAATGAAATGTATAATAATGCTCTAATGAGTTCTGATAAAAAAGGTAGAAAAGATTATTTTTTTTCATTAGTCAAAAAAAAACAAGAAGCTTTCTGAAAATGAAAAGGAATATTGTAAAGAAAAGTTTGTTTATGATACTGAATTAAATAATGTAACATATAAACTTGGCAAACCAAAAGAATGCAACAAATGTAAATCAACAAGATACTCTGATAGATTTTGTGAAGGTTGTATTACTTTACAACTACAGGGTCTTTTCACCACTTGGACATCTGGGAATAACATAATTGATGATTTTATTCAACAATCTCAAATGAAATCATCTTTGCCAACTTATATTTTAGAATGGATACCTTTTGAGCAATTTGAAAAAGTAACAAAGTTGACAGAGGGTGGATTTAGTTTAATTTATACTGCTACATGGACAAGAGGACATATAATTGATTATAATGAAAATAAAAAGGAGTTAGTTATCATGGAAGGAGAGACATAATATTAAAAAGTTTAAATAATTCAAGTAATCCAGGAAAAGACTTTTTTGATGAGGTTGGTAATTGTCATTTAAACCAAAATAAACAATACCGTATGTATTATATAATACTAATTCAATTTTAGGCAATAAATCATTGTAAAATTAAATCATCAGCAATTAATTCTTGTTATGGTATAACTAAATTCCCAGATAATGGAAATTATGCAATAGTTTTAAATTATTTATCAGAGGAAAATTTAAGGGATTATTTGAAAAAAAATCACTTAAATTTAACATTAAAAGACAGAATTACAATCTTTGATTATTTATGTAGTGCATTAGATGATATACATGAAAAAGATTCAATCCATTGTGATTTACATAGTGGTAATATACTTGTGGAAGGAGGTAATTGTTATACTACAGATTTAGGATTATGTGGACCAGTTGATGAAAGATCATCTGGTAAAGTCTATGGAATTGTATCATATGTTGCACCTGAACTACTTAGGGGAAAAAAGAACACAAAATAATCTGATATCTATAGCATTGTGATGTTAATGTGGGAAATATTTGCAGGTCATCCATCATTTGATGATAGAGCTCATGATCATTGTTTAATTTTTGATATATGTGAGGGTTTACAACCACCAATATTACCAGAAATGCCTGATGATTATGCACAAATGATGCAGAAATGTTGGGATGTGGATCCATCAAAAAGACCAACTAGTGGAGAGCCTTTTGACTTTGCTTATGACAAACATAAGGAAATTTATGGTAATGATTGTAGTAGTAGTAGCAGCAGCAGTGTTGGTGTTGGTGTTAGTGATTTGCAACAAGTACATAAATCACGTCCAGATGCATACATCTAAATGCTTTAAAAGTTATACAATTAATGATAGTTCATTAGATTTTGGCTTTCTTGGTTAACAAAGGTGAATAAAAATTACATATTAATTAATTGGAAATTACTATCCATTAATTATTACTAACAGTTCGGATTGATTAATAAACATTAGATTCTAGCAATTAAAAAGAAAGAATTGATGAGTGACTAATTTAATTCCCATAATAATTTGTTCATTATAACTATTATTTTTATTTTATTTTTCTAAATTATATATAATAATATTTCTTATAATAAATTTTTTACAGTTTTCTGATTCTTGTTAAATGGTGATATTTCTAGGTAGTTTTTGGTTAATGCTGATTACAGCTAACTTTTAGGCTAATCTTGTCAGTTAATTGCAAGCAACTCGCAATAATTTGATGCTTATCAATTAATTAATTTACAAATTTACTTCGGTCCTCACTTACTGCTTCTTTCTTGTATGTGAATCTGTAAGCATATTTGATTAAAGCTCCAAATGAGCTGAGCCAAGTTTATGCTTAGCTTGAGCTCGACTTGACTTGAATCAAGGTTGGGTGATGAAAATATTTTGTCAGACAGGGTACACCTGACTAAATGTGACAATCAAAGGGCAAAAGTCAAAAGTCAAAATCAATTGAATTTTTTCTTTGGTCAATTTGGTCAATTAGAACAATACTTTCATAAAAGTTTGATAAAAGAGCTTGGGCATTTTGTTTTTGTTTATTTCATTGTTTTGTTGATTGTTAATTTCATCCAAATAAAAACGAACAATAGAATAATGACATCTAGGGCTAAATGAGCCTTGAATTTAAGTGTTTTATGATTCCAGGTTTTTGGACGAGATTTGCAAGATGCTGAGTAATGTCCTTTTACTTTTTTCATGCATCAGACACAGGACATCTTGGAGCCAATTCTGAAATAAATTTTCCTAAATTTAATGTTTATAAATTCATATTATATGATGACAGTTGAGAAGGAATTGGTGAATCAGAATTTGACATCATGAATTTTTTTTTTTTAATTACACCTTTAAAATCCATACAATAATTGTTTATTTTATTGTCAAATAATATATTTATATATTGATCAATATATCGTTTATACTATTGTTGAAAAAGTAAAAATCGAATTTGCAAAGGAAGAAGTCAATTTTTTCGCGAAAGGAGGATACGGATGATACAGTAATGAATGGTAGTATAAAACTAAAGCCAACGTATAATCATGATAAAGTGTGCTCTGCTATTAT